TCTGTGAATGTTTCATATTATTCACTTGCAGAGTGTGCAATCCTTGTGGAGCAAAATGTCCGGTAGTCGATGGCCATGTCTTGCCACTTTCTCGACCAAAATGACCAGTGGAAGCGGTGTCCCTCTGTCGGATCGACTGAACGTGGAAAGAAATAAGCTGGACAAGAGCATCAGAAACTACTGATATGTTCATCAATTTTTTGATCGAAAGTGGCAAGACATGGCCTGTTCTCGGAGCTGTTGCTCAGTTTAGGAAGTCTGTTGACCATGCTGATCGATACATTATGTTTTGTAAATGTCATCGGGTATTTACGATGGGTGTGCGATGGGAGGCTCAATCAGAAGTTTGTGTTTTCGATTCACTTTCGATGGATTCATCTGACCACCATTCTCACCTTTATGATTGCTTAACTTGTTTCATCTTAGCTTTTTGCAAAACCAACGTTGTTCAAAAAAGCAAGTTGAATGTACTCGACTGAATTTCGGCTTACCACTGCTGCAACTTGGTTGTAATGACTCTCGATTTGGGTTTCTTTTTGCAAATCATTCCATTTTCGTTCAAACTTTGTCGTTGTTGTTAAGAGCTGTCCTTTCTGACTTTATTGCACTCTTCTCGTTTTCATTTAATTTAAAATTCGCGTTTTTTTCAACGAGTTTCCGCGCTACACCCTGCCCTCATGGTTTCGCGCCGGGACCGTGGTGTGCATTAGGCTGTTGAAGTGTTACGGTCACGGCGCGGGGACGACGGGTTCGAAGGCTGGTTTCTCTGCGGTGAGTGAATCTTGTGCGCTGCAACTCGGGCAATGGTTGAGTCAGTGGCTCCGCATCAGTTTCCACGCAAGAAGCCAAAGGGTCCAGATTTGCCTGGACACTGCCTTTAAGATTACCAGAGAAGCCTACCGTGTAAATTGATATGACTTTTATAATCAGCATGTCAGATCACCTTTACAAGCTCTACAAACCATTACCTCTCATACTTTCTAGTGTTTCCCAAAGTTCCGAAAAGCGTGATTCAAACATAAACTTTCTTTCAAGTAGAAGAAGTCAGCTTTTGTGTACTTGTACCAAGGTGATGCCCTCCAGCACTCTATGCGAGTTTAGACCTCTTAACGCTTTCGTATATTGACTTAAAAGTGCTGCCAGAATTCAACCATGGATTTTTTACCTTTGGCGCTTCAGCTCCAGGGGTCATCACAAAGCCGACAAGTCGAAATAAGCTCAAGCACCTATTGCAGAAATTTGGATGTGGTAGAATTACAAAAAATTGAACTTTTGTAGCCTTGTGCCTGACCTCTTAACTTGTCTTCAAACTTTAGAATCGTTCCATTCCTGGTATGAGTATTAAGCACGTAACCTCTTCTCTCCCTTGGGATATGGCTCTTTTTATTACAGAAAACCGGGGGTACAGCTTTAAAAGTGTCCTCCAGGATGTCACACCTTGAGGTTCCGGAGGTGAAGAGGAGGAATAAAGGAAAGTGCTCGCGGTGGTACGGTATACAGTGCCCGCGAACACCACTGTGAAAATATTAGATTGCAATCGGCTGCTGCGATCGCGCTCGCACAAATCTACATCTATCATAACTTATAATAACGGGCTAAGGATGTTTACGTATTTTTGTGTGTGTGTAAGTCTCTCTGTCTGTCACGAAATTCGTAGAACGTGTTCCAGCCAACCTCCTGAGCCCAAATTTTGCACAGCGCTTGCTACCAACATGAGAGCCCACTATACAAGAGCACGAGCGGAGTTGCGTGGATTCTTTGAACAATGTGCGTAAATAGGATCCACTTGGCTTTTGGCCAGTAAAATTGAGCCTGTAGCACGACTTTCTGCAAAGTCATGGATATGGTTGACAAGTTAATATGCAAGCCTTGGACCTTAGCCTAAAAAATTGAACTAAACTTTATTACTCTCCGAAAGCGGCGCCAAGAAGAATTGGCTGCGTAAATGTTCAATTTGCCAAGATTTTACCCGATTATTTGAGAAGATTTTTGCACAGAGATAAAGCCCACGGTGACTACTGCATCTTATGGAGAATACCAAGCCATCAAAAGTTCCAAAATCGACTCAAATTTGCGTTTGTCCCTTTGAGAGAAGTTTCGTTCACGCGAAATTACCGATCTCATATGGAAAAGCTTTTGGAATGAATAGTTGTTTACAAATCATTCGTGATAGTCCGCATAGCGCGGTGAGTTTCAATGTTATTATTGCGCGGGAACGAGTAAGGCGTACAGATAGTAGGACCAATGCGAGCCTCTGCGAAGCAGAGGTGACGCACTGGTAAATATATAAAACTCAAAGTATAATGTCTGTTAATAAGTATGTTTTTATCTTTCTGAGTGTACCAAATGAGCTGAAACTTTGCACACTTATGTTTTCGACCCCGGCGCAGAACATAGGCTACTTTTCGCGGCGATCTAGTGGGCCCTTCTATTGATTTGTTGATTTGTTTACTTACATCTGGGAAAATGAGGCTTGACATGCTCAACCAATCATTTTGCCATGACCATGGCAATAGGGGATGGTGAAGTTCATTTTTCTCTCAATGTCGGGAAGATGCGGCAATTCGTTTCACTGCCCTTTTTGCGCAGAAGGAGCTCAAAAGCGTAAGTGTTAGTAACTTCTTCTTAGCTAACCTGGAGTCCCGAGTACCGGGACCGCCAGCTAGTATATCCTATTATAATAACGCGCTAAGAGTGTTTACGTGTTTTTGTGTGTGTGTGTCTGAATGTCTGTCTGTCACGAAATTCGTAGACCGGGTTCCAGCCAACGTCCTGGGCTCAAATTTTGCATAGTACATCCTAGCAGCAGGAAAGTACATTGTGCAAAAGCACAAGCGGATTCGATAAGTGGATCCCCTAGAAATTGCGCGCCAAACGGATCCACTTGCATTTGGCCCACAAAACTGGGTCCGTAGTTCCACTTTTTGCAGAGTGGTAGGTGTTTATGGCAAGTAAATGTGCAAACCATGAACTTAGGCCCAAATAAGTGACCAAAAGTCCATTACTTTACAGAAACGGCGCTAAAAAGTATTGCTCGCGTAAATGGTCAATTTGCCAAGGTTCTAAAAAAGCAATTAAGAAGATTTTCGCATAGAGATGTAGCTTACTGTGAATGCTGCCTTTATGGCGACTATCAAACCATAAAAAATTCAAAAACCTATTCAACTTTGCCTTTGTCTTCCTGCGAAATGTTTTTTTCCATGCGAAATCACCAATCTCACAAAAGCTTTCTAAATGAGTAGTTGTTTACATTTCATTTGTGGTAGTCGGCATAGCACGGTGAGTTTCAATGTAAGTATTATGCGGGAATGAGTAAGGCATACAGAAAGTAGGGACCAGTGCGAGCCGCTGCGAAGCAGAGGTGACGCACTGGTATATACATAACTCAATGTCTGTGAGGATGTTCGTTTGGTTGTTCGTTCGTTATAGAAATGCCAGCCATTGAATCGATTGAGCTGAAGCTTCGCACACATATGTTTTCGACCCCGGCGGTGGTTTATAGCTACTTTTTACTTCGATTCGCGGGGTCCTTCTATTGATTTATTGATTTGTTTACTTAAATCTGGGAATGAAAGTCTGACGTGCTCTAACCAATCATTTTCCAGTAAACATGTAAGCAGGGGTGGTAAAGTTCATTCTAATCTTAAGGTCGGCAGTATGCAGCGGGTTCGTCTCAGAGCGCCTTTCGCGCATTGTAGAAGTTAGAAAGTGTAAAGTATGCTCGGATTCCAGATTCGTGTGGAGGTGGGCTGCCGATTTTCACTGATTCTAAGGATAAGCTGAACAAGAGAGAGAGAGAGAGAGAGAGAGAGAGAGAGAGAGAGTACGAAATACAATGCTGTAACGTGGAGCTTCAACAAGTTTAACCTAAAGATCAGGGAAGTTCGCAATCCGCCTCTACACCAATCTGGCATATTAGTTAAACTAAGAGTCTCGGGTGAGACCGAGACCATCAGCTAGTACAGTAATATAGAAGAACCAGTGCTCCACCTCTGCTTCGCAGAGGTTCGCACTGGCATCTTGAACCGTGGTAAACTCACTTTCTAAGAGCTTGTCTCTCAAATCATTGTTCGGTTTATTGCAAAGTGAGCCGTAGTTAAAAATGAAACATACTCGCTATCTTAACCTCACATGATGTTTAGTATCGTAAATCATTCCTCACTGTAATTTCGTAACGGACAAACTCCACACAACTTCAGATTAAGCCGTTTATTATAAGTCATGATTCACGAAGGGAACGAAAAGAAAAATTTATTGTGGTAGTCTTGCTAAGTAAGGTTGTTTTTCGGAAGCGAGATGCTTATGCAACTTACCTAGTTTTGATCAGTCTTTGGCTTCGAGTTCACAGCTTGACTTGCAAGTCCAAAAGATTCACGATTGCGAAAAGATAAATATTGACGCGCTTTAGATAACTGAAGTAGTTTTAATCTATTTGGAACGCAATTTTTAGGAAACACGCAGCGGATCCTTCGTCGTTGCTTATGCTAAACCACGTTGGTAGCGCATTTTTCAAACAAACATTTTTCAAGTCCCACATTTTTGTCACTTGGGTGATCCCATTTGATGCGACAGTATTTTGTATTTTGCAACAAGCCTTTTAGAGAAAAAAAAACCCTGGCGTTAAGATTTAAGGACAATGAGTCTGCTGCTGAAGATAGCGACGCTGTGCCGCTCGGCTATCTCGGCATCATACTGTTGTTGTCCAAAAAGAACATGAGACCTTGGGTGCAACTTTCTATGATTTGCGTGATTGACAGTTTTCAACAACAACAACAACAGTCTCTGCGCATTTTTGTGTTTTTTTTTTGCTGGACTGTGACAAACGTTGGAAGAAATGTGTTCGTTCGACGATTTTTACTTTGTAGGGCATAAATGACCAAATCGCAAATGGGTGATAAAAAATGAACCTCTTTGCAGCGTTTGGCATGGGAATGTAAACGATGTCGACATTCAAACATTGCCCTTTGTGTATACTCATTCTATACAACAACGGACATGAGATGGCTGAAGATACACCAAAGAAGAAGTCGTTGTCCACAAGGAGGTTCAAGAGCTTCAGGGATATAAACCGAGAGCTACGCGCAAAGCTATCCAATATTAACAACTCGCTACTAGCTGGACCAATCAAGGAGAGAAGATCGCATTCAGGTAGTAAGTTGAATAATAGAAGGCACTGTTTATACAAACGCTCCTATCCAGATGCGAGCCTCAGCTCCACGCGAAAACCTATTTCGTTAGCAAAAGCTGCCCCAAAACAAGTAATTACCACTGCCAGACATCCGCAGTTACCTCAGAAGTCTGATACAATAGCAGGTTTGGCTTACCACTCCTTTTTTTGCATGCAGATTTAGCGTTCTAGTGCAAGATCAAAGAAAGGAAGGCATTCCACATTCCCCAAGAAAGTCGAACATTCCGAAAAAATCACCTTTATCAACGTCAACAATAACACCTCAAGAGATAGATCAGGAAGAAGATCGCTCAGATGTAAGAGCAGTAGATTTGATATTGATTTGCTTCCATCTTTCAAAAAAAAAGGATGCATAATGACCGTGGCCTATTACCTGACAGACACTCTCTGCCTTAGCACTGGGACGGTATTTATCAATCTCCCGCACGCTGCTCGGGCGCTTTCCATCATCCATCATCTTTATACACGGCCCCGACGGGCGAGAGCGTTCATACCGTGATTCTGTGAGATTATTTAGCATGGCCTGAACGGGCAGCAGAGCCCGATCTGTCAAGATCATGCCTGCCGTGCCCGACATGGCCAAACTTGGCAAATCGGATTCTTGAAGCAACGCAGTGTTTTAGGTGAGATCCAGGTACTATTATTGTAATGGTCATTCCAGCCTTTCATTTTATGCATTTAATATGTACTGTTCTCATTAAGGAGATTGATAAATACTGCCCCTGATCACAAAGAAGCCCATTCCGTAAATAACAAGTTTGGAGATCAGGGTCTCAAGACCAATATATAGGGTACTTAGCTCGCATGCGCGGCTTTACCCGTACCGTGACTTTATGTGGCCAAGCAAAAACCAAGGTACATAGGTGCGCATTTTCGAAAGCTCAACTTATAGCGTTTACTGCGTTTCGGCGTTCTTCTCTTCTTCATATAACACAGGGTAGATATCCCCGGATCGCTTCCTTGAATTACCGCATTTCCCTTATCGTGGAATGGAAATGAATTCTACCGCTATTGTTTACACAAAAGTTGGAAGTGGTTGATATCGATAAAAAAATCATTTTTCTTCAAAATCGATAAATCAATGAAAGGAGTGGGAATTTCGCCGCGAAAAGTAGCTTACGGGATGGGCCAGCGTCGTAAAAGCATGTGTGCAAAGTCTCTCTTTGTGTATAGAGAGTAGTCTGGCGCTACTCTGTCTATACACAAATTTTCGATACTGAACACATCAACTGACATACACACTTATCTTTATATTGTATAGATATCAAAAGTCCACGGTCACCTAGTATCCTTCGCTTTAGATTAATACTAGATGGCATCCTCGATTCTGCCCGGGAAGCTAACTTCATTGCCTTGTAGAGGGTACTAACTAGATCCAAAAGCGTCAAGACCCACCATTCCTTTTCCTATTTGAGATGCGCTTCTGTGATATATCCTGCTGACTCGAAACACCGGATCTTCTTCGCCGCATGAGTGAGATTTACCGCCCGCTTACCTAACTATAATTCAGCAATGCTCAATACGTTTGACTTCATTCCTCACATGTAAGTAACCAAATCAATAAATCAATTGAAGGGCCCAGCAAATTGTCGCGAAAAGTAGCATAACTTTGGGGCCGTGCCTTTTATAGGAGAGCAGATTTTGGCATCATCGGTCCACGCATAAAGGAATCTATAGGCCACATACTGCTAAAAACAAATTTACAGAGTTTACGTTTTATTTTAATCTAGACTATGCAGCGTCGCTTACACTTCTGGACGTTGAGTATACTTTATTTACTAAGACCGTAATTTACATGTGAAGCCTCCAAAACGACAATTTCTAGTGTAGCAAATATAATATCACTACTTTTCAGTTGTCACTCTCATCGAAGGAGGTCAAGAGCGGTGAACTTGAAGTTCGCAAACCAAAGATAAAGAAGATTTACACCGAAGATCAGCTAAGAAAAATGATCAACAAGTTGTACAAGTAAAATTCACATGTTTGTTTCTGAAGGAGTGAAAGACATGGAGCTAAAAATTGTCTTCCTTCCAAGCTGGCCAAATAATTGCTATTTGTATATATAAAAAACTCGAAGCGTTGATCTGGAATAGCAAAAAAAGCATTAAGATCAGATTTTGCAATCTTTCCTTTGTTGGAAATTGTAAGAAGTAAGTTGGGCGAAAAATGTTTTGCTAACAATTTCGTAATAATCAAGTCTAATGCTGTGTTCATACTGATACCGAAGTTCCGGGAACAGTTCCAGCACAGCGCTCAGTTCCAACACTGTGCTGGAACTGTCCCCGAACTTCGGGATCAGTATGAACGCAGCCTAAAGCCTCGGGCATACTTTACGAGATTACAGTCACGACGGGATTTGACAACACTCTAATTGTAGATAACTTGTCGTAAGCACATCCCACACGTACTGAAGAAGGAACATTTTGTATGCAAGTTAAACACCAAGTTACACACTCTGCAACAGTAGCTTGCAAGTTCCGGGGCGGTATGCAGCAATCTCCCGTTTTGAAAGCGATCGATCATCTCCAGTAGAAATCATACATCACAGGTCGGGCGCCCAACCCGGCCGGGCGATCATTTTCTACTGATCGCCCGCTTTCAAAACAGAAGATTGATGTATACCGCCCCATCCCCCCGATTTGGTCAGCGATCAGTCGCTACTGATCGCTTGACTGTGCCCGAGACTTAATGCCCACATGATTTGCCTTTATGAACTGAATTTATACGGTAAAAGGGAAAAAAGGTGAAAGAATAAAAAGCTTACGTCGCAAATATTTGACCTAAGGGTGGAAATAAGCTTGAAGTTTTTTTATTACAGACAGACTAAGGACATACGAGCAAAAGACCCAGAAGTTGAAAAGTTGCTACAGGAAACAAGGGAATCAATACAGGCTATAGAGGTGGCTTGCAACACTAGCGAGGCACTTTTTAAGGAAAATGATTTCAGACACTAGAAAAACTGTTTCAACGCATTCATGATGAATCCAAAGCTCGCACAAAGAGATTGGTGGATGAATTCGAGAAGCTGAAGAGCGTGAAACAACAGGTAGCAGACCGAATCATTAAAGATTTGATAAATACGATTGTCAAACTCAAGCACGGACGAGATCTGGACGCTCAGATAGCCCAACAAGTCAGAACTGAGGTTGATACCAAGAAAGAATTATGCGATATGCTCAATGATGCTACTATGAAAATGATCATGGTAAGACGTGACTTTTAGTAACAGAGCTTTACAATCTGATATGTTCAGGCTAAGTCTGGAAAGAAAAAAGATCCAGTACCACAACGCTCCTTTTTCGTCAATATGATGAGAAGCGCGATTGGATTATAGCTGTGAGAGATCACATCCTGACACAGACATAATTTTCCCGACGATATTACAAAAATTTTCCCGACGATATTACAAGGATCACATGATCCTAATAAACATCTTAATAGTGTATCATTGTAAGAATATGAAGCCAAGGCAGTGAATTCGGTTACAGTTGGCATGCAATCTGGCATTCTGCCAGATGACTTCAAATTATATATTAGCCCCTCCCCCCCCCCCCCCAGAGAATGGGTCGCGAAATTTTTGGAATTTACTTAAGTGGGTTATAAAAATGTGCAAGTGGCTTGTTTATTTTTGTGAACAATTTATAAAAAAAATTTTTCGTGGGCGTAGCTGACGCCACGTCCCTTTTCCAGATTTTAGGGGTTGGGGATCCGAAAAAATTTTGAGGAGCACCCCTAAAAATTCTTCGGAGTGCGTGGCTGACACCACGCACCTTTATTTGAAAAAAATTTTTGCCGCCCTTCCCCGGACGGAAATCCTGGGACCGCCGCTGATTAGCACATAAACAACACCACGTATTGCAATCGTAAGTTTATGGAGCACTTTACATATTTTCTATATCCAGAACGCGCTGAACCAATGAACATTTGGAGCATTGCCAAATTGCGTCGCCATTGTCGTGAAGTATGCCCAGGTTCGGAGAAGAATTTGACCATGAAATTATGCGTTTACTTGTTTTACAGCTTCGGTGCTAGTCATCACAAACTTTGGATTGCGCTTTTTCTATTTTTGCTCGTGCCCGCTTCTTCTCACAGCCTAACTATCTAATGACGAAATCTTGGCCTTCAATTTCTTATTTACCAGCGACCCTAAGATTCGCTAACAAGTGGGTGGGGGAAGGTACATTGAGCATATGTAAGGCCCCGGGCAGACTTCACGCGATTTGATCGTCGCGACTGAATCGCGACGAGACAACTGTTACAACATCATTCCATGCCGATCAACTTGCATTTCGGTTGTGATACTTTCCCAGCCCAAAATTTTTGAATGTGAAATGAAAATGAATGGAAATCTTGGCGATTAGATCGCGACGATTCAGTCGCGTGAAGTCTGTCCGGGGCCTAAGACAACAATTATATGCACTAATTCACTGATTGTATTGGAAATAATACCGCGCGCAGCACACTAAAAAATAATTTCAAAAACAGAAGACTATAGGCTGACAAGGAGTAAATAGTAACACACTCAAACAACTCACCGGAACTTCCGCAGGACAAGCAGAATTTGCAGCGTTTCCGCAGCACTTTCTTAACCATTGACAAAGTGCACGCTCCAAAATGCGAGGTTTCCGCAGGAAATTGACGTCACAGCAATCGTAAACCGGAACTTCCGCAGCACTTTCCATAAAGCGCTGCGAAAGTGCAGTGAGGCGCGTAAGGTTTCCGCAGCACTTTGTCCTGCCAGCATTTCCGCAGGACTTTGAGAGCGCAGGCATTCGCGATTGCGAAATAGCGAACGCAACATCAACAGCGCATAGCGCACTCTTTTCTTCCATACTGTTTCGCTTCTGTTCCTCCTGTAATCTTTCTCTTTTTTCTTTCTTTCTTCAATGTTGGCGTAAGTAAACCTATACTCATCCACATTCTAAGTTTTCTTTCAGGCATCGGAACAGGTGTCTGAACAACCATCACCAAGCTGCTGGAGTGCTGGAAAAGGACTCAACGGAGGGACTTCGTCTAAGCACAACGCCTTTGTTCAGGTATGTCGAAGTTCTTTGCTTGATGTGCTTTGATTAAAATTATAATGCAAGTAATTCAAAACTATTATTTTGTAGAAAATATACACTGGTTACAAATAAAGCAGAAGTGATTAGGTAGAAATATATCAAAAGGGGGGAGGGAAAATGGGTCACAGAAATTTTAAAGTGATCTACAAGCTCTTGGTGAATATTAAAATATTTTCAAAAACTCAGATTCAAATTAGGAGGGACCAAAAGTACGTTCGCCAGTTTTTCAGAAAATCATAACTTCCTTTCGACTCGATGGATCTTTTTGCGTCTACATTCATCTGAGAGAGGAAATCATTCTCTTTATAGCGATACTTTTTCCATGAATTGGCATGAAAAAGTTCGAAACTTAGAAGCAAGTGAATAAAATTACTCAAAATTGGCATTTTTCAAGCAGGGTAGCCAAATTCTGGAAGTATTTCTCGATAGAAAAAAAATTATGTTCTTTACTATAATGCCTTTTCCAAAAACAAAAAAGATCGCGAATTAGAAGCAAATAAAGAGATTACTTCAGTTTTGCGTCGGGAGGGACGGGAAATCATGTGAACATGGGTTTAGTGACCTTCTCTTTTTAGTTGAGAGAAATTCGTGCCAATCGAAAGCAATTTTAATTTTCGTAATATTACCGAGTTTTCGGATCTGATTTTCTATGGAAATCAAAATTGCTTTCGATTGGCACGAATTTCTTTCAGCTAGAAGGAGGTCACAAAATCCATGTTCATAAATACCCCTCTTTTCTGTGACGTCTTGGGCATTTTTAATTGCAAAACTGAAGTAATTCTCTTTATTTGCTTCTAATTCTCAATCTTTTTTGTTTTTGGAAAAGGCACTATAGTAAAGAACATAATTTTTTCTGTCGAGAAATACTTCCAGAATTTTTTGGTGACCCTGCTTGAAGAATGCCAATTTTGAGTAATTTTCTTCAATTGCTTCTAAGTTTCGAACTTTTTCATGCCAATTCATGGAAAAAGTATCAATGTAAAGAGAATGATTTCCTCTCTCAGATGAATGTAGACGCAAAGAGATCCATCGAGTCGAAAGGAAATCATGATTTTTTGAAAAAATTTTTGAAAAACTGGCGAACGTACTTTTGGTCCACCTAATGATTGTGGACAGTTTTCGTAGAAGCTGTGCTAAAAAATCGAGGTGGTGCAAAAATTGTAACCGCGAAAATTCAACCATTTCTGAATTTTCTTTTGCTGGAAGTGGCCACACGCCCATGACCAAAAGTTTCAATCCCTCCCTCCCCTCCCTTGAATAAATTTCTCGCGCCGCCACTGCTTTTCGTGTGTCTATCCTTTTCTACTCCTTTCTGCTTTTGATTTTCAAATCTTTTCCCTCTTGCAACACCGCACACATCACCAAATAATAATTTTGATTCAAAGATAAAAAAAATCGAAGCTTACGATTTGAAATAATACCTACTAATTTGAAATTAGAATTTTCAAATAATAGTGTTGAATCATTAAATAAAATAGAAATAATGTGGTAGAAATATATCAAAAGAAAGGAGCGGGGCATAATGGGTCTCAAGAATATTCATAGTAGTCCGACTGTAGATAATGAAAGATAAAAACTCTTCTAAACTCTAAAGTAGTTTGTCTAGGCAATTTTCGAAGGTATGGCTCACTCCACCCCCTTTTTGCTAAAAAAAATAGGACGTACAAAAACTGGAACCACAAAAATTCAACCATTCCTAATTTTCCCTTTGTTCGGTGGCTCACGCCCACAAAGCCAAATAATTTTTTGTCCCCTCCCCCCTTGAAAAGGTTTCTTGCACCGCCACTGCGTTAATGTATCTATCCTTCTATACTCCTCTGTTCTTGCTGTTTTAAATGCTTTTCTCTTTCCCAAATACTTCCTACATCTTCAGCGGATCCGCGCATGTTTATTTTGGAATTTGTGTTTCCAATAGTACCTACCTGAAGTACCTTATGATGGAAGCAAGCTCTAGAGATAGAACGCGGAGAAGAAAATTACTCCATTCTAAGAATTTCTACGTTTGGTTGCAAAACTGAAATTCGCAACTGAAGTCGGAGCATTATAGTTTTAATAGCCTGCTCTTTCTGACTGTGCCAAGTTTGCGCTGATTGAACCTCGTTATGAAAAGTTATGGTTTTCGAAGCAATTGCCAAAACATTTACTCCTTTTTTTTGTTTCCTCAAAAATCATAACTTGTTCAGAGGACGTTTAATCAGCGCAATCTTTGTACATTCAAAAACAGTAGGTAATAATAGCTATAATACTAATACCGATTTCTCCGATTTTCTGCAAGCAGATTTTTGCGACCAAACATGGGAAATATTAAAAAGGATAAAGGATTCGGCGTCTTCAATACCCTCTGAGGGCATGCGCCGAACGCACACACTAACTTCATAGTCGAAGAGGCAACTGTATGCGTGCGAGCCTATCACAGTGACTTGCGGGGGCCAGCCGTTTCCAAGTCAGTTGTTTTATCCTCCCAGATTACTCTGGTACCAATTTACCGGCCCCGGAGGGTAGAGGGCTTGGTTGGCCAAGGGGCGGGGATCGAACCTGTGTCCGATCTGGTCATAGCGGCGCCTCATACCACTACGTCACTCGTCCCCTGGGAAATATTAAAATGGAGTAATCTTCTTTACCGACTTCGATCTCTGGATATCAAAAAGTGCCTCAGGTACCATTAAAAAGAGCATGTCTTCTTTCAAAATAAACATGTGCAGATCGGATGTGAAGGAAGAAGTTTCGAATTTTTGAAAAGGATGGGGAAGAGCTTTTGGTTCATTAGTGTTATTTTCAACTATTAATTTATGAAAATTCAACAATAATTTATAATAACTTCACTTACACTTACCTGCCTTAGAATCTGACACCTACCTATTTTGTGTGGAAAATACTGGAATATTAGATTAAAACAAAAGTTCTGTCGCTCCAAGTTTGAAAATTCCAAAATAATTTAAGTCAAAGTAAAGCCTTGATTTTTGCAGGAAACTCTTGTAATTTTCAAATCTGTTTCAGAGCTTCTCTTGTTGAGATTTCGAAGATTCCGAAAATTTTAAATGAATCGTCCAAATTTGCTCCGTATTTCTTGGCGAAGTTGCAAAGTGGAACGCTTGCGGCAAGGCACGATTTACATCAAGAAATTTCAATTAATTCTCATTATAGAAAGGAAAGGAGACCGAAGCCGGCTTCAGTCGCGCGGACAAGGTCAAATTGACACCCGATAAGTGGAAATGGTTTATTTCACCACAGGACCATCTTCCCCTTGAAGCCCATATTATCCTTTGTGAAT